TGACATGTTCGTACGAACCCTTTGTACGAACAAAAGTAAGAGAAATTTAGGATAAGAATACGAACATGTTCTTGCATGAGGCCCATTGACTCTAAAGTGTGTTTTGAAGGCCCACATCTTTTTTTTTAGTTTCATCATCAGATATTTGAATTAAAAGATGCAAAAGTGATATTGATTTGATAAAAGATTTGGACTTTATTTGTACAACTATTAAAACAATTTCCACTAAATAATGTTATTCCTGAGTTTTTATGTTTAACTGGTGTTTCTTTATTTTTATTTAGAGTAAATTATAGTTTACTGTATTAAATAAATTAATTTTGGTCATGTGTATTTTAACCAAATGTGGCTTTAAATAACATTATTTTTTCCCAGAAATGGTATAAATAGGCAAAACAAACAATGCCTCAGCGAGGTAGGGGTTAGTGCAGTGGGGAAGTCACATGACTTGGATGCAGGAAGATCAGAGTTCAGAGACAACCTCAGTTACACAATGTAACCAAAGATGGTGTTTTTCTGAGGTTGTTGAAACAGTACTGAGACTATGAAGAGTTATGAAATGTTTCTTCTTGTTTAGCTTAAATTGGGGAAGTTAAAACCTTATATGAGAGAGCTGGGAGTTAGTCTGGTGGTGAAGCCACATGACTTTGGTGCAGGAAGATCAGTGTTCAAATCCCAGCTCCTACTTAATTTCCACAGTTTTTAAAGGGTTTCTTACTTTCACACAGGTAAGTGGCTAAACTTAGGGAAGTTAAAACTTTACATGGGTGCTGGCAGGTAGCCCAGTGGGTTAAACCACGGCTGTTGGTGCATTGATGATCAGAGGTTCAAGTGTTCAAATCCCAGAGCCAAACTTAGCTCCAAAGAGTGTCTGAGAAACATTCATCTACATCTGGTTGATGAAGGAACAAGGGGTGTTTGAAGCTCCACCCCCATCTTTAGAAATAATATAATCCTATATGTAACCATATAGGAGAGTGCCTAACCTTGTTCCAGTCAAAGACACTTAATAATATAGATGCAAAATGTAGAACTAAACGCATTCAAAAACCTTAAGTTAGTGATAAATTAGGTGTGTGGTGTGAGTCGGGAACGGGTGGGGGGGTTGGGTCTGGGGGTGTGTGTGAGAGTGAGACTAAAAGTAGATGCAATTAGACTCAGATCAGAAAGCCCAGCAGAGCGGTGACTACCAGCATTTTGGTAAATTTAATAAAAAATAAAATTGAAGTTTTAAAACTATCCTAGCAGTTTTATTTACCTTCATCAACCAGGTGTGATGAACAGATACTCATTAAGAAGCTATGACCAGCTCTGGGATTTGAACTCACGCACACCAGGTCAACACTGCACCAACAGTCAAGGGACTAACCCACTGGGCTACCTACCAGCTCACTCATACAATGTTTGAACTTCCCTAAGTTTAGTCAATTACCAGGGTGAAAGTGAATAAATCTGTCAAAACTGTGCAAACCAAGTTTTTGACATTCTGTTACCAAAGCTGGTGCTGGGATTTGAACCCTGATCTTCCTGCACCAAAGTGACACAACTTACCCACCAGACTAACTCCCAGCTCCCTTGAAGTTTTAACTTCCCCAAGTTTGGTCAATTAGGTCAAATGTGAAGAAATTATATGTGCACCAACAAATCGGCAAAGTTCAAAGAAATCTTTCAAAATGGTGGACACTAAATTGTTCTCAGGTTTCATCTGTAAGCCTTAGCTCTAGTTCAGTTTATTTGTTGAAAGCAGTGTCAGTTTAATCCCTGTATCATTAAATTGGATGGCAACAAAAAACTATCTTTCCCCTCATTTTTGCAGATGATGGAAATCCGCCGTGGCGATAGAGAAATTTAATCCACGCATTCAGTTTATGATGGTTAACTAGTTTATTATGTAACATGAATATCTGAGACGAACATGTGTTCTGAGACCATTACATGATCCTGAGTACCTGTACTGAGTGCTGGTACCACAGTTTGAAATTCATTAAATCATTTAACACGAGCTCACCGTCTGCAGCAAGCGTGGGTGGTGTGTTTCTGGGAATACTCCTGTTAGAGCGGGAAGAGACAAGCCTGTGTGAGAAACTTTCTTTTCAAAACAATGAAAAAAAGCTTCCACTTAGATCCTTAACTGAAAATAGGAATTTCAGCTGCTTAGACTTAGTTTTTGAGTTCATGTTACACATAGGGTTGGGCATAATCGTATCGTGTGCAATTAATCATCAGAAAAACATTAATTGATTATTTTTTGGCACTTGACGATTAATACGATTAATGCCACCAGGCAGACTGACTGGTGATTTCTCCATTCGGTCTGGTCGTGATCCTCTCCGCTTCAAATATGACGAACATAAAAAATAAATTCTGAAATTGATTTATCTATCAACATAATTTAAAATTTGATGTATAGCCCGAAGTCTGTAATTTTGACAATTTGGAACAGATTTTTATAAAGAGCAAATATTTCCCACTAAACTGGTCATGAGACCAGGACATAAGGGTGTCCAGGGACTCCAGGGGATTAATCGCCAAATTAATCGTTATCTGCTAAACACCACAATTAATCGTGATTAATTTTTTTGCCAATATCGCCCAACCCTAGTTACACATGTGACACAAACACAGGCAATTACAGCCACTCACAACCAAACCAGATGCAAAACACTACCTCCATTTGAAAGACAGAGGCTGTTCAAGATCAGGTGTCCTGTACGATTTTGATCACCTCTAGTTCAGAGTAAAATAAAAAAAAATAAAAGAATTAGTACTTCATTGTTTATCTGTGTTAAACATCTTGCATTGATTGTTACCTATAGAGCAGCTCCAGGGCCACAGTGTCTCCATAGTCATGAGATATCAGATTGACACGCTGGTTGCTCAGACCCAAGTGGGCCACCAGGGCCTCCACGATACTGGCCTGCTCAAAAATGGAGTACCTGTGGGGCCTCTGCAAAGTGTTTTTAAAGCACAAAACAGGAGTTCTGAGAAAAACAGGACAATTGTTTTAATCAGTGCTAGGGGTGTAAGAAAATATCGATACACTGAAATATCGCGATATTTCATTCCCCGATACTGTATCGATATTCTAAAGCRCTGTATCGATTTTTTTTATTAAGGTTTAAAATRTCAACTTTCCTGCCAGCCGTTCGTTTATGTTGTAGTTCAGCCTCTGACCACTAGTTGGCAGCAGTGAGCCAGCCATTTGGCTCCTCTACCTCTTGAGCACCAGAGACTAAGCGAGCATTAGCATTGTAAGTAAACATTAGCTTCATGCTCCGATAGCTGAATCTGGGCGGAAAAGACCGACACCCTCTGCCTTCTAAGCTGAGGTAAGGTTACAAACAGTTACTTATTTGTCAGAATGTCTGGATTTTAAGTCAAATTAAGTGTCTTGTGCGCTCTTTTTTCCAACTGTAGGCAGCTTTCACGTTACGCATATAGCGCATGCGTCTATCACCTCGAGCGAGCTCGGCACTCCCCCCATGACATAAAACTCTGTCTGTTGCTTTCAATGTCCGGCTGATCGCATCAAAGTCCGTATACTTTATCCTGCTGTGTTCACTTCTAAAATGGTTTAACTCGTTTAGATTCTATTTCTTAACTGGTTTTCTTCTGGACCYGTCCTGCTGTTCGACCCACAGTTATACAAATCAGGTTCTGGATGCAGGTCAGCTGATCCCAGAAACTCTGTGTGCAGCAGCTTCATATCATCTGTTTACTGAACTTTATGACAACATAAAGGCTATTGTTAAGTGTTGGGTGAACATATTGTAAATTAATATTAAAAACTAAAAGCTGCCAAAAATATATTTTCAAACTATTTATTGGCAAATTTAGTCTAATAACTGAAAACATGGATGAAATATGAAACAAATAAAATAAAACACATACAAAGCAGAACAGCTAAATGTATCAAAAGTATGTCTATGAAATATTAGAATTTTCTGAGAATATGAATTTTGGTTTTTCGTTGTTTTTTTTTTTTTTTTCCAGTAAGAGGTTTTTATTTAATAGAATTTTTGGACCAAAAATATCGCAATTTATCGCCTTGTTTACAGTATCGAAATATATCAGGATATATCGGGATATATCGTATCGTGACTCCTCTGTCATGATATGTATCGTATCRCCAAATTCTTGCCAATACACAGCCCTAATCAGTGCACAGAATGGATCCAGAGAATCCATCACTCACTGGTTTGTCACTGAAGCCAAAACCAAGGAAGTCCAGTGCAATGACTCGATGAAAGCGTAGTGTGAGAGGACCCCAAATCTGCATAGAGAGAGGTGGACAGACAGGTTCATACCGGTGTATGTCAGGGTGTTTCAGATTAAGATAAGGAGTGGATACCTTGTTCCAGTCGTAGCTGGAGGTGGGGAAGCCGTGCAGCAGAATGACCACATCTGAGCTCCCCAAAGCGCCATAAGAGTCTGAGAGGAGCAGGAGGAGTGTTTGAGATCAGCAGAACAGAAAACAGATTACCTGCATGCCTTCTCTCACGTGCTGACCTCTGTAGAAGACCTTCCTGCCCCTGAAGAGGAAGACGTCCCCGGAGCTGTGCCACTTCTGCAGGGCAGGTGAGAGCTGAGGGGGAGGGATGTGCAGGTACACGGCCACCAGCGGGATGCAGATTAAACCCACATGAATCCACCACTCTCTCATCTTGAGCTCAGCGGTGGGGGGGTCTCATTCCTGCCCCTGAGAGACAAATCTTACGATCAAAACCGACGCTGTGAATGCTTATTTATTTGCCGCCGGTGTGAGAAATAACCGAACTGACCACATTTCAGTGACAATAAACACTGAACGACTGATATTAGCGTTTAAAAAAGCGAAAAAGTTAGCTAAAGGCGACCGACAACTTATTCTGAGGCGAAAGTCGCAAACAACCGGCAAACTTACACAAATATTCCCTCACGTAATTAGCAATCCTTCTCGCCCCGTTGTGCAGGACCTGCAGAGGAAATTCCTGTGGATCTACAAGACAATACGGGTTACAGAGCAAAGAAAACACGAGACGGCTCATTCTGGTTGGGTTTCCGTCGCCGAAAAACTTTGATYTTAGCACTGCGAAGGCTCGAATTGTTGTAGTTACTTTAACTCCGAGTAGCTCATCTTGAAAATACACGATCTTTGAGAGTTGCCATTGAGAAAATAAGATGTTTACTGCCACCTGCTGGTCGGGGTGTGCATTAGCGTTGAAGATAACCTGTATTTTACTGTGTATCTGAATTATTACTGAGTTTATTTCTTCACGTTTGTTTTTATTTTAGATACATACATTTTCATTTGCATTTTATTTTTAAATTATGAGCTTTTTTGTTTTCACATAATTTATTCCAACAGTCCCTAGGYACACAATATACAAAAAAATAAAATCTGCTGTCCTTGCAACTAAAGAAAAAAAGTTGGCTTTTAAACATCAGGGACAGTTTTCTGATGTCTGTAGGCTATTAAAAATGGTGTTCCCCGCCCCCTGTTTGCTGACATAAAACAAAACAAATCAGTACCTGAAAACATTACCCTACTCCAAAAGCTACAAGTGCTGTCAGAATCTTAAAAAAAGTAAAATAAAAAAGAAGTTTTGTCTTATGACCTTCTAAACAAGTTGTTTCAGCAGAGACAGCTGAACCAATCCCTAAACATTTGCTGTTGAATATTCACCAGCAGCCTGCACAGATATACAGTTAGGTCCACATACATGGACAGAGACATTTTCCTAATTTTGGTTCTGTGCATTACCACAATGAAATTTGAACAAAATATTTCAGATGCAGTTGAAGTTCAGACTCTCAGCTTTAATTCAATGAGTTAAACAAAATGATTGCATAGAGATGTGAGGAACTAAAGCATTTTTAAACACCATTCATTCATTCCAGGGGTTCAAAAGTAATTGGACAAATTAAATAATGTATAATACTTGATTGAAAAGCCTTTGTTGGCAATGACTGCTCTTGAACTCATGGACATCACCATATATTTCCTCCTTTATAACGCTCTGTCGGGTCTTTACTGCAGCAGTGTTCAGTTGCAGTTTGTGTGTGGGCCTATATTAATTATCTATATTGTCAGACACCCTTCATCCATTTTTAATGTGGATACCCTCAAATGAAAGCTGAAATCCTGGACTTGATGTCCATGTCTATTATTTAAGTAACTTCGAAATGTTTCAGTTAACAGGTAAATAAACTTTGTCAGTGTCCAAATACATATGAACCTAACTGTATTACACTTTACAGCCCCCTTAAAGGTTAACAAAAATATTTTTATTACCTTGAGCATTGCCTCCCATTGATAGAAAAATAACTCACGAAGAAGCTTTGAGAAATATTCGGCACAAAATATTTTTAAACGATCAGTTCTTAAATTAAATGACACTAWTCTGCACATTTAAAATAGAATCTGACGGTTGGTAATGGTGTCTTGCTTCACAATGATAAATTAACTACAATGAACCACCACGGCCCTGCGGGTAGGCTAAATACATTTTTTTATTTTTAAAAACCATACACATTACTCAACAAGTTTCAAATGTAAATCCAATCACAATAACCATTTAAAATGCTCAAGATAAACAGACATGAAGTATCTTTTTTTTTTATTTCCAAATGTTAAAAGATAAAAAATAACCCATAAAACAGATGGAAAACATTCATTCCCATAACAGGAAGAAAGCTACAGAACAAACTCCTCACATGGATTCCTTTCATGACGTCAATCTTCTCACTTTTGTAGGCTAGCCTGTTAAACTGTAAAACAAGGAAAACAAAACTATTTACAGAATAAGTTGAGACCGAAAGAATTCCACTTCCTCCCRTGGCCTTTCAGGCGAAGCCAGCCAATGTGACTGCACGAAGAATTTGCAGCCCGCTGCCAGAGTTACCCCGTGTGGTTGGCGAGCACCAGCTTTAATTTTACCTGTGTTACTAGACAAGCCAAAAACTGGCCTGTTCTTTCACATCGATTGCACCCTGAGATGAATATTCCAGAACAAAATGCATTTTAGTGGCCTGAACCCCTTCYCCTTCTCCACACGTAATATTGGTGTCTAATCATCCACAACAGCTTTTAGTGTGATGAAAGATCTCATCAGTGTCGTCATAAAAATACAAAGGTATATTTCGATTTGTATCAAAATTCGGTTTCTCCCAAGGAACACTATGAAATAAAGTACCCTGTGCAGATAGATACCAGTGTATGCCTAGTTTCTATTCTTAAAAAAAAAAAGCACATCCAATCTTTAGCATTTCCAGTACATCAGGTTTCAAAAATATTTTACAAACCAACCAAATGCAGAAATATTTATTAAGAGTGAAAGGATTCTTATGAACAGGCTTGAGAAGACAAAAAACAAACAAAAAATAAAAGCTTTATTTCCCTTCTGGTTTTCAGGKTTTTTTTTAGAAACTCCAAGAAAAAGAAATGTGATGTAAAAATGTGTCTCCAAGCATAAAGAAAATGAAAACAATTGACTTTCTTTTTGCTCAGGACATGCGTTTGCTACCTAAATACACAATAAAAGAGAGTCTGAAGAGCTTTTTTTAAAAAAAGGATTCCTTTTAAGTTTATTTAGTTTTTGCCTGAGTAAATAAATGTCAGTATTGCACATTGGCAGGGGGCTAATAGTTAGAGAGGAAATAAATAAAACAAAACAAAAAAAAAGATAGGAAGATATTGAAACCACCAGGATCCATATTTATCAAGCATCCAAAAGGGAAGGAAATGTGTCCAGACCCACCCAATTAGTCTAAGCTGAGCTTATTTGGTCCTGCTTTTAGCTGTAGAAATAAGAAACAAGAGCGCTTCATCTGTAAGGAGTCTCCTCAAGGTGGTGAATGACGGGACCAGGATCATTAAATTATTGTAGCCAAGGCACATTCATGTTTAGTCTTTATGAACATCTTACTGAAAATAGATGAAGCGGCTGAGCAGCTCACAATACAGCGCCAGTTCCAACTCGACTACAAAAAGTTAGATTTTTAAAGCTTTAAAGTGAGCTTTTCGTACATCTTCGAGTGAAGCGGTTCGTTTTACTGCTTAAATCAGCCACTTCTGACAGGAACTGGTAATTACAAAAGGATGTTGTTGGTTTTTTTTTTCTTTTAAAAGGTTACACAAATCTAAAAGGAAAACCTCTTCTTGCTGAAAGCAACGGCAGGAGGCTTCAGGACGTTCACCGTCTGTCCAAGGTCAAAGTTTGTTTCCTCCCTAACTTCCAACTGAGTGAGATGCTTGCTAAGTACAGGCCTGGATATTTACTAAAGTCCCTTTAAATAAAAWATAAAATAAAAAAAGTCTTTCAACATGTGGAAATTTTTGAACACGTCATAATGAGTGAAAAGAGTCTAGAAATCCAGAAGGTTTTGTGCACATGGAAACTATCGAACAAATGGAAGAAGTAAATATTTATAGCGATGTTAGTGGACAGAGGCCATTATTGTCTTCTTGTCTCTCCTGCGAAAACACATTGTCCCTTGGACCTCTTTTCTATACAAGCCTTTGTGTTTCAGTTTGGCTGAAGGTTCGATATTTATCTACAAATATATAACAAATAAAACTTGCAGGCAAAAATAGTTAAGTTTCAATAGAAACACCCCTTTTTTTCCTGAAAATACAGCAGTATCTGAAATAACCCACTCATTCATTTATAATCTGTCTCAGTCGTCTGCATTATACATCAGGAAGCTCTTTTGCCTACAAACAGGAAAAAAAAAGTATCTACAAACTTTGTAAACAGACCTGCTTTTTTCCATAAACATAAATAACTCAAAATATTAACAGCCAATGGAGCAGAAATAAGTCTTGAATGAGCAAGGATCAAAGAGATAAATATACAACACCATTCAGATAAAAGAGAAGCTAAAAGGTTCGTTCATAGACTTATAGACGGTCCTCATGCACAGAGGAGGACTTCCCCTTCTCAATTCAAATAATAGCAATAATATTAGAGTGCTAAAAACAGGTCACTTTCAATCGGAGTTCATAGTCACCCCTTGGAACCCAGAAAAACGAAAAGTTACCGAGGTGGGAGGGGTGAAGAGCGAGTCCTTGTGTTGCAGCAGGGTATTAATGAGAAAAACAAAGACCAAAGAATCCACACCAAGCCGTACATTCCTCTGAATGTTTGCCAAGCTCTAACAGGACCCCGCTCTCAGTCTAGCCCTTCGTCTTCACTCTCCCAACRTTTGTCCCTTCAGTCTGAGCCGAGCTCCGTGGTGGCGGGTGGGAAAAGGAGGTGCTGACGTGTGGAGCGTGTGCTGGATCAAAGGGAGGTCTCCAGGCTGTGCAGTGGGCTCCCCGGGGCCGAAAGGGTTCCTGGTTTGGGGCCCTCTGGAAGGAGGTGGTTGCTGCTCTCCACAGCGTTATTGTTCTGGTTTGGGGAGAGGGAGACGGGCGTGTTGGGGGCGGCGGTGGTGACCGGCGAGGGCGTGGGCGAAGGCGGAGTGGGTGTGGTGTTGCGGGGGCTGGCGGAGTTGCGCTTGGTGGGGGCGTCGTCCTCCGCGTCCGTGTCGTCTATGAGGGGGATCTGGGGCTCCGAGTCCTCTATTCGAAACTCGGGGTGGGTCATGAAGTTGTGAATTGACGTTCTGGACTCGGGTTTCTCCAGCCCCTCATAGAGGGAGATGGAGCTGCGGAATGCTTTCACCACCCGGATCTGGAAGRACGGACAAACAGGGACATCTTTAATCTCATTAGGTAATGACACACTTTAAGCCAACAATCGGATAAAGCCACAAATTCAAACTCGGGTTTTATCAGGTCAATACCAGGTGGGTTTTAGCGGCTTCAAAACCAACAATCGAAATGAGGATATTCTCAAACACGTGCATGTGAGCTTTCATTTCTAGTCCAATTCACCACTTCAATACAAGTGATCCAATGTTAAGTTGTTCTCATCCATTTCAGACTGTTAGTGACAAAACTGGTTGGAGTCTAATTTTATTGGAACAGAGGAGGATATTTAATGGAACTCATTGATTTTTTTGTTTTTATCTGTGTCACAAAATACGAGTTCTTCTAATACCAGTTTTACTGCACCTTCTTGCTTTAGGTACTACATAATTTCTTAGAATCCATGGGAAAAACATGGTGCTAGTCCAAATAAATGTTTACAATTTGGTAGAGTCCTGAAAGTCATGCAGCGATTTTAGAAATCAAGATTCAAACGGAGAGGGGACCAACTCAATGTCGTGTGTTTTTATTTGGAGCATTTGCTAGAGGCCTGCGTTGGATTAGGTAATCAAATAATTTAAAAAAAATTAAAACGGAACCAAGGAGAGTCTGATCTTTATAAAAAAAGAGCTAATCCTTAGAGAAGGGGCAGCAGCTGGATGAGAGTTTACCGTTGTTGGACATGCTTCGTAAAGAACAGAGTGAGACAGGAAGAGAGTAAAAGGGGAAAACAGGAAGGAAAGAAAGGTAGAAGGAGGGGGAGAGAGAGAGAGAGAGAGCGAGAGAGCGAGAGAGAGCGAGAGCGAGAGAGAGAGAGAGAAGAGAAAGACAGAAAAGGGAGGAAGGGGTGGTCAGTTACAGCTCATGTTTGTGGAGGAGAAACAAAAATGCTGTGGCAGCCAAGCATGTCTACAAGCTGGTATACAAGTCAAGAACGGCACAGAGGAAAAAACTCACAAACGAGACCAGAGACTTTGAACCCATGCAGAGCGCAGAGCTACCTTCAGTTCAATGGTGGGAAACCTTTGAGTATAGCCCATGACACATTTAACAAAATCTAAAGACAAATATCTGGGGACGAGTCAGTGGTTTTTCGTTTTGGATTCTTTTTGTTTTGGCCATATGGACACATTCTGTCAACAAACAATTTGCATAAAAAAAAAGACACATTTAAAAGGCACCTGGAAAAAAAAACACACACAGACACAAAAGGTCCACCCTGAAACAGAAATCTAAAGACACATGTCAGGAATAACATTCAGTCAGCTGTTGTGACATCTGTAAGAAATTTAAAACCCACTGCGGGTGAGGTGGTCTGCCAGGTTGGACCTAAAAGAAAAACAGAGTTCCCATCAGTAAGAAGAGGTTCTTTGAAGGAGCACAGAAATGGAAAAAGCTCATTGAAAATACCTTTGAAAAAAATGATCCAGATCCACGTTTGACACCCTTTATCTTGATGGAAAAAGACTTAAAAATATGTTAAAATTTGCATCTAAACACATCAACAAATGGTGTCCTGGCAATTGCATCTTGTATAAACATACTGAGTGCTGTTGGAGGGCCGTTCGTTTTGTTTTCCAAAATAAATTGCCACAGTTGGAAACAAAAGCGTTATTTCACCAATGATGGGTTATCCACTGACCCTTAGCGTGTTTTCACCACACAAGTCCGTGTCAGGGGTAATCTCTATTCTTTGGGCCGTGATCATGGGCATATACTCAAAACATTTACCAGACCAGGGACTAGAGAGCTGCGACAAAGACCCATGAGTGCTACAAAGGCACAGAGCAGACTGAGGCAGCTGCAGACAAACCTGGTAAACAACAATCCAGAGTATAACCTTTGTCAGGTAGAAATAAAACACACACTTTCACCCTGCTAGGTAACAGTGAACAATTTCCATTTCTTAAGCAGAAGCAGAACAGAAGACACGATGACACAGATAAAACACCTTGACGCTTGAAGCGACCTGGTTACAGGGTACATTTATATATACAGCAGAGTTATAAAAGCAGTATGGGAGATGTGTTTCTGATATTTGTTGAAGAGAACAAGGAGGAACATTAGGGAAGCATGAGTGTCAAAGTTGAAAAACGTTAGGCGAGAAGAAGAGCGGAAGAGAAAGATGTTAGAGGAAGAAAAAATAAAAATCTCATGCACTAAAGGAGAACACGCACTCACACCCCACAGTGGCAGAAGCGGAGTTGGCAGCAGTGGCAGAAGTGGTAGTAGTAAAGGCTACATGTGTAGGGCTAGAAACATTGGTTACATCGTGCTGTTGTTGGCTGGAGTTGGAGGCTTGCCGCCTTAGAGCCCCCTGAAAGGAAGTTCCACTCTGGAACGCACTCACTACATCCATCTGCAAAGAATCAGACAGCACGACAGAAGAAAGCCCAGAGGAAATCAAACAACACAGCCAGAGGAGAGAGAGAGAAAAAAAGAAGAGAAAAAAATAAAGAAAAGGCACCAGTAACCATAGAGAAAACGTCACTTTGTAATTGGACTTTGATACAGTCAAGAGAAGAGGAAAGAATGATCGGGTTCAAAGGCACTGATCGAATGGAGCTCTGACTCCAAAACCTGACCTCACTTTGACTCTTTTCTCTACAGCTGGACAAATGAAAGGTTTCTTCAGCCATTTAACTCTCACTGAACCTTCAGCTACTCTTTCCATCAAATCTAATCAAATAATTCTCGTCAGTACCTTGAAACTAGATGAGCTTACAGCAGAGGAAGACAATAAGCTCGCTTTAGCACAGAAGCAGAGCATAAAGATTAAAAGAAAAGGCTTTTATGTTTAGGGCACAAGACCATTTTTTAAGAATGTCACAAAGAAGAACCAGAACAGATTTTAAGCTGGAAGAGCAACAGAGAGTTAAAGGGTTTATGGCTTTTGATTCCCTTGGTGTTCATGTGCTAAACAGGAAACTCTGGGGCATGTTACCTGAGTTTGGATGCGGTTGAGACCTCGGAACCAGAGGATCTGGCCTCGGCGGAGCTCCCGCTCAGCATGGTCAATCTCGTCCATGTCTTCCAGCTCCTCCAGTTCTTCATCCGGGATCTCCTCCTTCTGGGTGCCATGGCCTGCCGTTTTCAGGAATTTTAAGCGACTGGTGGGTATTGAAGAGATAACCTGGAAGACAAGCGCACACATGAACAAAACTGACGAATAATTCAGGTTTTTTTCTTTAAATAGAAGATGCAATACATTTATCCACTCAGCTCTAATGTGCCGTTTCAACAACTGTTCTAAAATCTACACAATATTCAAAAACAGAAAACTATGTGATACATGTAAAGTAGAAGAGTAAGAGGAGGAATACATTTAAAGTTGTGGCTAATGAAAGCTTCCACGAACTGCAACTGAAACACATCAGCCTGTCCAGGTGAATGAATATTTCAAACAGAAGCTTGTCTCCATTACGAAGTGGAACACTAGAAATGCATCTTCAGGTGTCTGGAAACTTTTCATCATGTTTTCTTTTAACTCACAGTAAAACAAAGTCAAATTCTATTAAATTAAATCGCAGTTGCTTGAGACTTGTAGACCTAAACTGCAATAAATAAATCAATCAATAAATAATCAAAACGTGTCACACTTGTGTTGATTAAATGTGACCCATCACATCGAAACAAGGATTAAGTCCAAAAGTGGTATAAGGAGAAAAAGGCAAATAGTGTTTTGACAAGTAAAATGTTAACAAAAATAGCATTTTGTCAAAATATAATGAATAAAAACCTTATCAATGTATCAGTTGAATGAACTGTCTGAAATTTAATCATAAAACATAATTTTGAAGCACTTTTTTGAGCAGTAACAACAAAAAAATGATTTTGAGGAAAAACACCTTAAAATTTTAGATTTTCCCTGTGAGCTAGCAAAGTTTTGTTTATTTTTAGCTGTGAAATCTCAAAATTCAAATATAATTTGAGGTTTCCTCTTTATAAACACATCAAAAATTCATCATTAAAATGGCATAAAATAAGGATTCAAACCAAATATTTATGTATTATTGTAACCAACAAGACAAATTAAGTCATATATATGGATTTAATTATATCAGAATGATCCAGGTATCAAAATATAGCTTTTAAAGCCAAGAATCTGAAAATGTAATTAGGTCATTTTGACCAAATTTGAMTTAATCCTCATTTCGATATGATGGGTCACAAATCTAAATTAAATCATTGCAAATTAGGATGAACTTAGTTATGAATAATTTGGGAAGGACATTTTTTTTTACCCAAAAGAACCTTTAAAAAGTACAACAAAGTAAGAGGAACAAGGTTCTAGCTCAAGCCTAAATTATGCATCATGTCCCCAAAAAAGCCTCTGTGGGCCGCGTTTTGCGGTTCAGAAAAAAAAAAAACCTGCCCTGTCAAAATGTGGGGGCAACTGGCAGAAACATGTGAACCAATTCTGTCTAAGTTTTCAGAAAGAACCACTAATCTTAGTTTTAGTAATTGTGGTTTGTTTTACAAATGTCCTGAAACACTTTTTCCATCACAGCAGTAAAACGTATCAAACTGCCTCCGTCAAGTCAACACAGGGGGGCAGTACCATACCATGTTTCTGTGTCTCGCTAAATTAAAGGCAAAGGACAGCTGTTTTGTCATACCTGTCCCCATAGCAGAGAGCCAAAGCCTAGAAAAGTGCACCACAACCACTGGTCAATGGTCAGAGCCACRCAGCTGAAAGGTGTTCCTCCAAACTGCACTATAACTATCTAAAAGAAGAAAGAGAAATGAAATCATTGGAAATTAAATCTCTCTCAGAATTTGCTTTTGGTGCAAATAATTCACAACTGTATGCTTAAAAACCCAACAACAAAGAAAAGTCTTAAAACCTACCTGGACAACAAAGGTACCAAAAACTATACTGCAAAAGACAGGGTTGTTGAAAATGCCCTCAAAAACGTTTCGTTCTCCGTGGATCTTGCGGGCGTTGATCTCGTTGAAGAGCTGCATCATTACAAAGGTATTAAAAACTATTGTGTAGTGTTCAGACGGTGGGGCGTGGAGTGGTGCGTTCCTGCCGCTGTCGATGTCAAACAGCCTCTCTCCTGCGGAAAGACAGGTGATGGACAGATTTTCATTAAACACACAACATACGCCAACAAACAAAATGAATGCGATCAAAAGGAACGTGCAATGTACTTAAAGAGTGAGTTCTTTAGATAAATGAAAAGTTTCCTACCAGCAAAAAGCAGAGTAAAGGTGATGATTAGCTGGTACACGCCATGACCCAGAATATTCTTCATCATGGTGCGGGATATAAGAGGCTTGTTACGGCCATAAGGCTTCCTCAGCAGCAGGGATTCTGTGGGGGGCTCTGTTGCCAAAGCTAATGAAGCAAATGTGTCCATAATAAGGTTGACCCATAACATCTGAACTGCTTTCAGTGGAGAGTCCTGGCAGCAGAGAACGTCACACAAAAAGCACATTTTAAATATTAAGCAAATTAATTTCATCTAGTACAAATATTCTAACTGAAATGAAACCAACTGTATGTGGGAACTCTAATGTCACTGCACAAATGAGCTGTGAAAAACATTCTGATGCCACTTTCCTTTCAGTACAAAAACGTCTTATGGCTTAATTAGGGCAAAAATGTCCATGTACTATTATTAATGATGAAAAATATAGTTTTGACCAGTCCAACTCAACTTGTTAGTTGGAGAGAAATGAGTCGGTTTTTCTGCTCACCTGTGTGATGCAGGCTCCTGTAAACGCTACAATGACAGCCACCACATTGACCGTTAGCTGAAACTGCAGGAACTTGGAGATGCTGTCGTAAACATTTCGTCCCCACATGACTGCTTTGACGATGCTGGAGAAGTTGTCATCCGTCAGAATGATGTCAGATGCTTCTTTGGCAACATCAGTCCCAGCAATACCCTAAAAAGTTAACAATCCTGATTAAACTGCTGTGATCCAGTTAAATTCAGTATGAATTTCTTTTCCAGCTGAACTTTCAGTTTAAGATGATACTCTAAATTATATGGAATATTAAAACAAAAAAGAAGATTCTAGTCTCAAAGAAATTAAACAGAAAACCCACCATGGCAAAGCCAACATCGGCTTTCTTCAAGGCAGGACCATCATTTGTACCATCTCCTGTCACTGCGACCACTTGTCTCTGTTCAGCTACTGTGCTGTCAATAATACCTAAAACAAAACAAAAAGCATTCATTTTTTACAGTTTACAACAATATACCTTAATTTTTAGGTTTTACTTAAAACCATTAAAACATAACTACCTTTAACTAAAGTGTGTTTGTCTGTGGGAGACGATCGAGCCAGTACTCGTAGTTTGGGCCAAATCTTGTCAATGCGTTCTTGCTCGATCTACAAGTACAGTACAGTATACAGAATTCAAATAGGCAATCCTTCACTGTCTAAAGTTGAATTTTTACTGCGGCCCACCTCTCCTTTTTCATTGCGAATCCTGCGATTGAACTCTTTTCCTTCCAGGCAGATGAAATCGTCTCCAGGCTGCAGAATGCCACACTTGGTGGCGATGGCGCGAGCTGTGTTAATGTTATCTCCTGTCACCATCCGCACTGTGATCCCAGCATGCTGGCATTTCCTGATGGCATCTGGGACCTGAAGGAATCACAGGAGGAAAATGCTATTTTTGTTTCCGATTCAGGATTTTAAGGACTAAAAAAAAAAACATTTTTACAAAAAAAAAAGTTCTACGTAGTTGTCATTTAAAATGACTAATGTAACTCCTACTGTTACATTAGCTTATTTTAAACTGAATGATTCACCAGCAAGCTTTAAGTACAGCAAGAATTTGCAGACCTCTAAACTAATCAAGTGACAGTTAATCAACAACAATCAACTTCGTGTTCACACAATATTGTCTTTGTCACACTCTGAGCACTTCCTCATTGGCCAAACGCACTTTTATACTATGATGTGAAGCTATAATAAAAACAGCCAGCAGTGCATCACCCAGYGTTCTTGTTTTGCTTTAAAAGCTTCCCTGATGAGTGAAGGAAGCCCAGCTTTGCGCTGCCTGCACTCCTTGTAGGRCGTGCTTAAAAATAACACTGGTTAACCTCTTCAGCCACCTATCCAAAAATAATATGAAGATGAGGGACCATGTGCCACCATTTCACCAGCTTCTGAAACTGACAATTTAACATTCACATCTAGATCCCCCAGTGCCTGACCGGCTGTGCAGAGATAAGAAGGAAGACAAGATGATTATTTTTTATCACTTTTCATGTGAACTGACTGTTTCCACGAACGCTTTTTTTTTTTGGACAACTAGATGTTCTATTAATTCTCCCATGTCACCATTTCACCTTCAAATATTAAGCAACTACTTTAGCACAATCAGACACTAGGCAGTCAATGCTCTGACATGCTGGCAGCATAACTGATCTATTGTTTTATAAGTTGTGGAGCTGAAACACTTGAAATTATCCAACGCTTTCAGGGTTTATCACACTAGATGTTTTATCTTTAGTGTATGATGTTGAATTCTCAACTGGTTTTCTCATTTTCTTGAGAAACTCCCTACCTCTGGTCTAACAGGGTCCTCAATGCCCACCACACAGATGCAGGTCAATCCAGTTAGGATATCATTTTCGTTGTCCCAGTCAGGTTCACCGTCAGAGGCAGGAAAGTCTCTGTACGCAAGGCAGATGGTCCTCAGGCCCTCCGAGGCCATGGGTTCAATCACTTTCTTCACCATGTCCTCTCGGTCCCGGGGGCGGAACACCTTTGGCTCGCCGTTTGCTGTGAGGATTTTATAGCACCTGGGGAAAGTGAAGGGCATGTTTAAAAAAACGTAATAAAGAAGGCAACTATGAGCATCAAGTTCAGACACGTGGCATATACTGTAGGTACAAACTTAAAGCATAAACACTAATTTAGATTAAATAAGGTGAGGAAGTAAAAAAACAAAGCTCTTCAATGGCGTGTTTCAGTAATAAGTAGTAACACTAAGCCCTCTGTGGGTTAAAAAGAAGCCTGCTTGGTTAAGAGGCTTACAGAGCTGTTACCGGCTCATTTTCTCAGCGCCTGTTTTTAAGTCTCAACGTAAGGGGCTTGGGTGGGATGCACTTGAACTTCTTAGCTGCTTAAGCTATTACCCATATCATTTACTGCAAAGTCTGGCCRACAGGAGCAAATACCAAATATATAAATAAATAAATAAATAGATCTACAAACACAAAAAGATGAAAAGAGTTCGTACTTTTTTAAGAGAATTTCAGAGGCTCCTTTGCTGAACATACGATAGCTGCCGTCAGCCATCTTCAACACAGTGCTCATAGATTTGCGGACCGAGTTGAAGGTGTAGACTTTGTACAGTTTTTCCTCTGTGATTTCACTGCGAATAGCCTGGTAGTCACGTCTCAAGTCAACAGCAAAGCCAAGCAAGGCACATTCGGTTTTGTTACCCACTTGATTAGGCAGCCCCCCTTCTTTTTCTGGAGGCTGGAGAGGAAAGAAAAATAGCAGAGAGAGGCCAGCAAGTTAAGTAACTAAAAGAAACTTGTGAATTTTACAAGAAGGCTTTTTTTTCTTCCTTCATACCATAATCTTAGTAGTGTAGGCGCAGTTAACTGCAATGCCCAGAATCAGGATGTCTAACGTGGAGGAGGGGATGTTTTCCGGTTCAGGGACCTTCTTGTAGTGCTTTTCAGCAACGAAGGCCTGTACCACAGTCATGCGATTCATGGTGAGAGTGCCAGTCTTGTCAGAGCAGATAGCTGTAGCATTGCCCATAGTCTCGCAGGCATCCAAGTGACGCACGAGGTTGTTATCGTTCATCATTTTCTGCAGAAGGATAAAAATGCCTTTTGATCACACTGGAAAATTCAACTATATATTATTTGAGTTTAACGCCGTTTAAAAAAAATGTGTGCTGGGACAGGACAGAACAACAAAGGGGATCATTGCATGGCTTAAGCACATCAGTTAGTCACATCTTAACAGCCTGGCATGTTAATTTTAATAAGCATAAATAGTAAGTTGGTCAGCCATGGCACAGATCATTTGACAGGCTTTAGCAGACTTTACCTTGACCGAGTATGCCAGGGAGATTGTTACAGCAAGTGGCAAGCCTTCAGGAACAGCTACCACAAGAACAGTGACGCCAATGATGAAGAATTTCACAAAGAACTGAATGTAAACTGGTGTGCAGTCTTGGATCCAGGGCAAATTCTGGACCCAGAAGGTGTCTATTACAAACCGCACCACCAAGATGATAACAGTGATGGCCGACATGACCAGTCCTGGAAAAATTAGGAGATAAGGAAAAATGAAAGGTGTCAAATTACACACATCAAGCTTAACATTTGTTTATCCACAAAGTACAATCAAACTATTTTAGACGGAATCTATTTGAATAAAAGTTGGAAAAGCACATAAAACCACAGTGATTGTGAGGATTTAACACTACAATCACAGAAAAAAGTGAGGTTTACAGTATTAATTCATGCTAGAAACAAGTGTATTTTTCTGACTCACCCGCTTTGCCAATTTGTACTGCTAGTTTGGTCAGTTTGCCTTGGAGAACAGATTTTTCTTTCTTTGGCAGGTTTGTCTTCTTCTTCTCCTCTGCCTCTGCTCCCTCATCGCTGTTCAAAGGTTGCATTTCCATTGCAGCTCCATCCTGTGCTTTAGCTGCAAAAAAAGAGAAGGCAAATATAGAACATGAAATACTGTAATGAACTGAACTTTTTACCTCAAAAATGTCATTTTAAAACAAAACATGGCAAAGTGTGTCATTTACAGTGAACATGATCAAAGTTTTGATCTAGTGCAAAACAAAATAGGGAGGCATTAGGTAAATATATAGACCACAATGGTAATGCATCAGAACAGGAAACAGCAGAATATAAATGACAAAATAAAAACAAGGAACAAACTGTACTCAATGTCTGTTATTATTTACAAGTGGAAAAAAAGAAAACCTGGGTTAAAGTGGGCTAAAATGCAGCAGGCATGTATTGTGTTTGATTGATTGTGCTGCATAAATTATTTATCTTCAGTGAAAAGGGAACTGGAACATTCATTTCTTGCAGGGTTAATAAAACAAAAATGACGTACTGGAAAAAAAAAAACAAGCAAGTTTTAAAATGTATAACGCGGAGTTGCAAGTCAGGTAAAAAGAACAGAGGAAATGCCAATCACTAATGGCAATAAATACAAACAAAAGGGGATTTTAAAACTCAGGAAAATATTTCTCATTCCATAAATCCAAAAATAGATTTGGTAACAACATTATTTCCCAATATACCAATGCATTTCACCTATAATAGGTTTCCAAAATCTATAACCTGGTTAATAAAAAAGTAACCCATTTGATAGAAGTATTTTTTTACTACACAATGTTCAGTAACATGGCATTGTGTTATGGATGCAATAGAAGTACTGGCCTAGTGAAACTGCTGTGGACTGCAGCTTCCTCTGCACTTACACAGTTGCTGTAATCTCAGTCTAAAGGATTACTGTTGATTCCAGGCAGGCAGAGGGAATCTGTGCACCAGGGACCAGCGCCAGGGTTGTGGTTACAGACTGAAGCACCACTGATCATAAAATACCAGCTGGATTGTAAGTCTGGATAGCTGGCTGAATTAGCATTAAACAGCCTCATTAGGAGCGCCATCAGTTTGAACCAGCACCTGTGCATGTCTTAAGAGTTGGACTGAATAGTTTCACTTGGGACAACAGAAAAATCAAATCATGGGGACCTGAGAGTGAGTCAAAAGCGAGATGGGTGGGAAAGCAGATGTTGTGGCCTCAAAATTGTTGCATGGCTTTAATCTCCTCATCACTAATCGCTATAACTGGATTCAATAGCACCTGCTGCTCAAAGCACAATGTGCCAGGCAAGGACGAGAAAAAAAGGAAAGAGACGGGAGGGCCACACAGTACTCTGGATAGCTAAGAACTCAAACCAAGAATAAACTTATTTAGGGACACAAATAAGTACTTCAACAACAACTTGATAAGAACTGATAACTGATAGTGGGACTGATAGATTCTCAAAAATAGTGAGTTGTGAATAAAATATYAATAAAGCTAAATGCTAATAGCTAAAGGCACTGTAGTTCATCCGTTATCTTAACCCGCTTCTTCCTTTCAGGGTCACGGAGGTCACTGTGTGAGGGGCAGGGTGAACCCTGGACGGGTTGCAAGTCCGTGGTTACCACAGCAAATTCTATATGGTTGTGTTTCAACATGTTGGAATTAGCTTACCTTTTTTACGATTTTCCACAGATCCATCTTGCTTTTTGTCTACAGACACATAAAAACAATTAGTTAATCATAAGAACAAAATAAAACAATATCTTGTACATAAGCTATGAACTCCACTTCTAAGACTTCTAAGGTTTAGCATTAATGAATCTTACTTTAAAGCCCTTTACATGAGATTTTTTTAATAACCAAAAAACGTATCGTATCTGTTAAAAGCTTTAGCAAAAGCCAAAGGAAGGCAATACCATACAGCTTTCTGAAAACATGTCATGTGAAATTGACAAGCTGATGCACATTGTCATTGACAGCTTGTCTAAATAAAGCTGATGTGTTTTTTCCAAACACGATTCAATTTACTGAACAGTGTTGTACTAGTACTGGAAAAAATTATTAGGTTGAAGAAATTTATTGGGGTTTGTTTACTACTGACTTTTAAAAGCACCACACATTCTGTAGTCTTTCCTTGGGTGAATAATTATATCTTTATTGTGCGATTATTTTTGTGATTACATTGATGATTTTATGTACAGACTGGTCTGAGTGGATATCAAAGATGGTTACACAGAACCAGAGGTACATACAGGTAAGATATATGCCTGAACACACTTTCAACACTTAATTGAACTGTTGTTTTAACACTAGAACAGGAAAAATGTACGAGAACTGGATTTCAGCCATAGGCTGGCCAGTATGAATGATGCAATGACAATAGGCAGAGTCAGGCCCTGAAGAAGGTTTTAAAGTATCATTGTTTCYCAAAATCTGGGCTGAATGCACGGGAAGCGCATTAAACGTGGTTCAGACCAGAGCTGTGGTGTGGTTGTATAACTCTTTTCACATTCAAACATTGGTGTATTTTCTATCTGGTTACAAACACGTATTAAGGTAAACGAACAATGCAAATTTTCTTTCAAGGTGCTCATTTGTGAGGATTTAAATGCCCTGATAGTAACAGCACAGTTAGACACTCAAGAATGTGATCTTTAACTTCATCCAAAGAAATGCTTTAACTGCCTTCACTTGAGCAGAGGCACACAAAGCTAGGTATTGACAGAGCTACAATGTTCTTAAAACACAGCATGCCAAACTGTGTAGAACAAGATGGATGAAAGCAGCTGAATATGAGGACATTCAGACACGACAAAAGTTTCAGCTGTGGTTGGAAAAACTACTAAAATTATTGCCTCTACACTTTGCAAATAAAGAAAAAAAAACCTCTAAGTGCCACTTCAAAATAATGAAGAGATTACTAAAAAAACAAGAATTGCTGTTAAATTAATTCATTTAGAGAGCTTTAATTTTATTTGTAATGTGGATGAAAATATGTCCACCTGTAACCATCTATTTGCATGATGGGTGTAAAGGCTGAAAAATTAGAAAGCAAGTTTAAAAAAATAAAAGCACACACACTCACTTTTTCTCTGTTTTTTCTTCTCCTCTTTTTCCTTTTTCTTTTCCTCTTCGTCGTCGTCATCATCTTCGCCACTCCCAAGTAAAGTGAATATAATTCCAGTTTGAGAGTTGACACCCACAGCAGTGACCACCATTTTCCCTGAGCCTTCCATTACATGGGTGCCTTTAAGGAAAAAAAGGGGGATGAAATAAAACATCAATAAAAGAATAAAGTGTTAAAACAGCTCCTAGTTAAATGGCGTACCACATTTCACTGTTTCCAACTTAGACTGAAATTCTGTACTGTCACTTTAACAAACGTTGCCCTTGATTAATTGCTATTTTATTTTAGATGACATTGTTAAGCTAGATTCTTTAATTTAAAAAGGTAGTTTAGCCAGGCTTTAAAGTGGCGTGTTAAGCTACACATGAAGGGCGAGGACAAAACAGCAAGTTCTCAGACAGAAGCAATAAAYACAAATAATCGTGCAGTAAAAGGAAAAAAAGAAACAGCCACTAATGCATAGACCCACCAAACCTTTAATCAACAGTCTTTAATCAAAGGCCTATTTTTATTTTTGGCTATTTAATRCAAGAGAGAGGATGAGAGGCAATGAGAGGTTGCAGCTCAAGCTCTCCATTCCACTCAAGACAAATCTTGACAATTTATAAAAATAAAAAAATAAAGGAAAAAAGAAGCATTACAGTATGAGAGAAAGCAAGACCATAAAAACCATTTTATTTTTACTGTGCTAGTCAGAAGATACTTTTCTTACTTTTGTTACAAAAGATACAGCCTGTGCTCAAAAAGTACTTCTAGAAAGTTGAATACGCACAAGGTGTGCCAAAAGAGAGCCAGATGAACTACACAAGAGAGCTTTTTACTTTAGAGAGAGAGAACTAAGTGAGTAAAAACACTTTTATTTTGGAGAACAAAAACTTGATGAAAAACTCAAAGAAAGCTGAACACTCTTACTCGTCCATTAGAAGCGCCACTGCTGATAACCACTTACACTGAGCAACAGGAGAGCAATACCAATTCACTTTATTTAAAGCAGCTATCTTAGCTGAACATGCACTACCTGGCAACAAAAGGTTCAAACATAGTGTATTGGAACATCTTTTACTTTGACTACAGCAGGCATTTGTTAAATCATTGAATTAATAAGTGTCCCAGTAATCACTGCAGTGAGAAGTTTTACATGTACTAAAGAAGACTTAATGCAGCTCTCCCATCATATTACAGCGGCTCTGCCGGCTTCACCTCAGTCATCATCTAGGATAAATTATTCCAAATCTAACAAAGTTAGAAGCTGAACTTATTAGTGTTCATTCCATCTGTGAAAAACATGTTTCATACTAACCTAACCACTCCTTTACAATAAATCCTGCTATCGTTACCCTGAATTATATCCACGCTATCAGAYCAAGAAATAAAAATCATCCGCCTTCATCTCACCCTATCCCTAACTTTCTTCTGTTCCACCAACCCTCTGCATAYCCTCCTTCACTGCATCCATGAGTGTTCTGTGGTAGTCACTGACTGAATTAAAAAACACCAAACCTGAATAAAAAGAAGCTCCAAAATGGTGTGTAAAATGTTGACATCATATTAAAATAATCCAATCATGGCAGGTGTTAGTGTCAAAGTATTGCAGATTATCCTATTACAAAAATAAAATAAATTGAGGCTTAACGTTACCTGATAACAGCATTGGATCTTTTTCTAGTGTTTTCTTGACATGGTCRGACTCCCCTGTGAGCGAGCTCTCATCAATTTTTAGATCATTCCCTTGTATAAGAACTCCATCAGCAGGTAAGAGGTCACCTAAAACACACAAACACATCAAGTAATTATTGTTATTAGAGTAATATTTACTATTCTTTTATATCCTTTTTATTTATTTTGACTAAGACAACAAAATCTTTAAAAGGCGTCTGTTCTAGCTTTATCTATAAAACAAACATTCATTTAAAGTTATGCCCGGAACGCAAATGCTATTTTCTTCTTACCGTATTTTATTTGTGCTACGTCGCCAACCACAATCTCAGCCACGGGAATTTGAATAACTTGTCCTCCACGGACAACACTAAATTTCTGTTCCTGCTCAATGCGGCTCTGGAGGCCCCTAAACTGCTTCTCTTTACTCCAGTCATTGAATGCCGTCACCAGCACGACACAGATGACCGACAGAAGAATGGCGGCACCCTCGATCCAGCCTGCTTCTGACTCGTTTTCATCCTCCACGCCACCAGCAGCTTTTCCACAATCTACACAGGAACAGAGTTTCAGTAAGACTTGATGTAAAAATCACTGACAAATGTCTCAAAGTTTTCTGAAGTTTGCAGACACCATAAAACACTTTGACAAAGACTTAGAACAGTGTACTAAATGTAAAAGGAAAAACCTTCAAAGGATGATAGAATTTATATATAAATGTGCATATGTTGTTTCTTACGGTCTCTTTCAGCATCTGGTGGTTTATAAAAAGAAAGGCCTAGTGAAATGAYGGCTGCCACTTCAAGGATAATTAGTGTGACATCCTGTAGTGCTTCCCACACTAACTGTAAGAAGGTTTTGGGTTTTTTGGGTGGGATAAAATTTTGTCCAAACACTGTTTTCCGCTTCTCAATGTCCCCTGGCTGTCCACTTAGACCTGTAAGAGAAAAAGGATAGGAACAAAAAGATTTTTATTCCTACAATCTTTATTAGTAATGGGATGACACGCCAAATCATTACAAACAATAAAATAGTCTAAACTTGGATGAGTTACTGCAGTTAACAGGGTAAAAATCAGTGAGCTGTACTCCTCAGCCTTATTTCTAACAAGAATGAGCATTTGTGACAGAGACARCATTTGACGACAATGACATTCGTTCTGTGGGGCTCGTGAACCATTTTCACCTCTTTCAGGCAAAACAGAAAAAAAACAGAGGTCCAGAAAGGTCAGATGGAATCCCACAAACTGGTTTTTCAATGAAACAACCAAGTGACTAAAGGTTGAATCAGATTTAGACACACAGGTGCTTTTGTGAGCGGCAGTTCCATTGCAGCCTCAACCTCTGACACATTAAATGTCTGCTTGGCCCAAGAACCATTCATTGTTGTGCTCGGAAAGCTTTCTGGAACAACTCATTCAAAAGCCTCCACATTGAAATTATATATTCAAAAGTGGCTGCACACATTTGATGATAGATGACAGGTTTTTAGTCCTATTCATGCTGACTGTGTGTGGGTGCATGTACAGACTGGATGGAGGTCTCTGTGTGTGAGAGGGTGGAAGAGAGGAGGTGGAGTAAAATTGGGACCATAGGAGGAGTGACTATGAAACTGCTACTGACAGGCAGATGGGGGTGGGCTGGGGTTGGAGATGATTGCCGATTTGACGGAGACTACGAAAGAGTTGGGACATGACAGAAACGTGCACAAAACACAACTGTGTCGGACAAAAGACTGGACAGACTCACAGAGTGGAAATGAAATTGCAAATAAATACATGAGACTAAGTTTGGATAAACAATCTGCAATTTACCACTCATCTGTGGGGAAAAAAAACTAGTCATTTTCTACAGTTTGTAAAGAAATGCCAAAAACAGACCAAGTCTCTTACAAAGACAACATGTGAAGATGCTTTAAACTGTTCCTAATTAAAAACAAAGTAGTAAAAATAATTAAATAAAAATGCAGCACAGACCAAAATAATTAGCATTGATTTGTGGAGAAAGAATCTTTCAACTGTTCATATTTTTGTTCAGGGTTTTCTGACAGGCCTGAAAACATGACTTTATCAGTACCAAGCCTCATGACTTCATCTCTTACAGCCTAATTTATAAAGCTAAAGTGCACCACATCTCTCAAACAATGCTGTACAACCGTAGGTCACATATCTCACTAGCTAAACCACTTCAGTCAGGCAAATGCAGATTTTTTTGATTGCAAAACAGCAAAACAGCATTTTTAAATTTAAAGACTTTAAGACATAGTAGTTTATTTTGAAAAGCTTGTACAAGTGTTGATGTTATGCATGCATACAGTATATTGAACAACTGCGAATACACTGAGAGCCACAAAGACTGGCTTCTGCAATGATCATTTTGCAGCAATCAGTGTGCAAAGTTTTGCAAGAGCTGAATTGCTGTAAGTTGTAAAACAAGGCTGACAAGGCCCACTGGTAATTTATTACCAGTGGGATCTGCTCAACAATAACTGAAGGTATTTAATTTTGTTATAAACCCCAAATCTTTTAATTGACAAACATTTTTATGCCTAATGATTAATATATGGTCTCTCAAATCCTAAATATTTCAACATATAAAATAATTAGTTCACTCAAGGTTATTTCCAAACGCAAATATTTAAGTCCTATCAATGGCACAATCTATGTCAGCATTTTTCCAAGTCTGGTCTTTGAAGCTCTGTCCAGCACATTTTAGACACTTCTGTGTCAAACATTAAATAGATTGCGTTTTCTAATAATCTTGTAATCCTGTTCTGAATCTCGATATCGATTTAAACTAGGTGCACAGAAGCAAAAACAAACTCTAATACTTGCAAAATAGTTATTTAAAATTTTTGCTCTGAGATCAAGAATCTATACAGCCATCCAAACTACCCATGAAATCAGGACATATTCTTCAACATAAATGTGGGTGGTAGTAAGTGATTTATTCAATCTAGAAAACTGTAATATTGCATCAAAAATGAGCAGTGATTTGAGTTTTTCCCCAAGTATGTCATACAGCTTGAGCTAATATATAACATTCTTTTAAGAGTTAAACTTATCACATAAGCCAAGGTTTGAAAATGGACCTACTGGTACAAAGGATGCTGTAYGCTCTTACACTGATCTAAATTAATTTATGTCCACAACAGAAGAATGGGTTCTGCATGCCCGTCACTTGTGCAAAACCAGCATTAAAACAAGTTCAGCATGGGTGCTGGGGTCTGTAACATCTCAACATRTAAACATACACCCACAGCCATATTTGTTAGTTAGATGAAAATTGTTTTATATGTGTATATGTGACTAAAAGCTCCTAAGTTTCAACAAATTGTCTTCAGCATGCTAACAGACCATTACACTGCTTCCAGCAACAATTAAAACACACTGAAAGAACTCACAGCACACATTCAGCTCTTAAACAAGCTCAAACTGTCAAAACTCCCTCCTTGTCCTAGGGACATTGTGAACCTGCACCTGCTGCTGCTCGTCTCCTCCTCCCCCCCATGTCAGCACTTTCCTCTCCCAGCTTTACAGAGAGATCCTGCATTTGAGTTTGCAGATAGAAAGACTAGCTACTTCCTTATCCTTTTTTGTCAACCAGCCACTACAGCCAACTTGGATGCACTTTACCCTACGTGTAGACCTCTCTTGCTCTGAGCCCAATGCCAGCAGCAAATTCCTGCTGCATCCTATGTGAAAGAAGAATAATAATAGATCTAACGTTTGACCTGGAGGGACATTAGCATGTTTTTGCCTTTTTTGTACTTCTGAGTAAACTGCTAATTCCCATGATGCCACTAAAACTTAAAATAAATCTGAATCATGCGTTACATGTTTTATTGAAATATAACCAATGGTAACAGTTTCTAAAGGAGGGTAAAAGAGGGATGACTCACCAGCACATGAAAAAAAACACTGGGAGGTTTAGCTGCCTGTTGCTGCTCCCTGGCTGTCTCTCACCGTCTCCTTTAATTCTGTTTGCCTCTAATGAAAACATGCTGACAGCTAATACCCTGTTTAATTTTACACCACATTCTCCCTTTGAATTAGAGTAATAAATACAAGTGACAGGGCGATCAAGGTGTTACCTCTCCATTGAATGCAAAACAAACAAAAAAAAATGTTCTGGCCTTGGCTCCTTATCATTTTAGCACTCAAGTCTAGCACCTAATTATCAATTTCCTTTGGATGCTTGTTCCCGTTTGACCTTACAAGTAACCGTCCTTTTAATCCTCCATTATTACCTTGCATATGGATGAGTTAAAATAATAATGATTATGTTTGATCCTCATCAGAATCCTACATTAGACAGAAGAACAGATATTCTAATGTGATAATTGTGTGTCAAGTTGTAGCATTATATTTGAGACCAAACAATTAGCTACACTGGGAGCAAAAATTTAATTAATTTAATTTGTGCAATTTCCTTTTATTTTTGTTTAACTCAAACACCAAAGTTACAGAGCTTGATTAGTATMGTACTAACAGTGTGTCAATAAAGAGGTTGGGATAAGAGAATCAGCTAAGTGACATTATCACTGATCAAAACTTTATTCAAATGCACCACCACATATTTGCCACATAAATAATTATTTTGGCAGTTCAAAAGTTCACTTTGACCCCAAGTTGGGCCTTAGTACAATAACAAACAGAACATATATATGCAACAAGTACACATTAGCCGTGTTTCCATCCAATTTTAATTCGAATTTTGAGCGAATTTTTAAAATTTCACAAAAAAGAAAGAACGAATAAATGCGAATCAGACGTGTTTCCATAAACTGGCTTGAAGCAAATCAGTTACGTCAGACGCACGTGTGTAGTAAACAGGAAGTAAAAGTCACATCTCAGGACCATAGAGAGAAGTTATCAGGAACGTGTTGCTACTATCGGGAAAGTTGTAATTATTCTGTCATCAACTAGTTTGGGCGATTTTACATGTGGTTGGGAGACGTGGAGGAAGTAATGCAATTCTTTTCACATTACGGGATTAACTGAGAATACGCCGACAGCGGAATGAGGGTCCAGCTGCAGTTGCGGCAGCAGTCGCTCTGGTACCGGGACCGGTTTCGGACAGACAGCAGGAACAGCTGATCAACATGAGGTAAATGTTCGCTACGTCAGACCTGATTCGAAAAATGTGTTTCCATCTCTCTTTTTGCGCATTAACTCTTTCGAAAAACCCAAAAACCACCTAAAGCGAGCGTATAAACTTTAATGCGAATTAGAGGAAGTTTCTTCGAATCAAGCCATTTCAATTCACCTTTTCTGATGCGATACTTCAAAATGTGCATTAAAAAACCTTGATGGAAACACTGCTATAGGTTCTGCTTTTAACAGACTAACAAGCAAATTTTAGGTCAGCAATCTGATAGAAGTCGCCCAGTCAGTGTTTATCTTTAGAAATCACAAAAGCCAATAGTTGATCTATAGAACAAAATTCTTAGCATTTGGCTGATATATGACAATTTTTTATTTATACTATTTATTTAATCTTTGGAAAAAAATGCTGTGAACTGGTGGATTGGTTTATGTGCTACTGATACTTTAAGGTTTCCCATGAGTTCCAAGAGTAAATTTATTTATACTTTTATTCAAAAAGTAATATTTCCTAAATAAGTTAGCATAACAACTTTTTAACTTCTGCCAATGTTTTACTGAAAAAAGCAGCCCTGCAGTAAAAAGACAGCCCCATGATAATGCCTGCTTTTTAATCAGCTT